CATATCAGTATTGAGTCCCAGAGATCTCCCACAAGCTCAGTGAGGTTCCTGAAGTGTGGGCTGTGCGAGAGATTCCTGCGCCAGAAATCACCCTGGACCTCGAACCGGATTGTTCGAAACGCCGACATGCCAGTAGCAGCAGTTCTTCCTTGCCGACATGCCTTCCACGCGGATTGCTTGGAGGAAAGCACTCCCAAGACAGAAGTCCATGATCCACCCTGCCCGCTGTGCACGCGAGCCACCGAAGACGAAGGGCATGTGTCATTCTCAGAACCTCTGCACGTTGCCCTCCGGTCTGCTCGCAGCAGGAACCTTTCATTGGGAGGTGGTGCTGGTGGGAGTAGCAGCAGCGCAAACCCTCCCTGCAGTGATCGTGGCTTGAAGAGGAACCATTCTGCTATCGTGCCGAGACGCGGTGGTAGCTCATTGTTCCGCAACCGCTTCAAGAAGCAGTTCCCCTTCAAAGCGAGGATTGGGAAGGAGCTCTTTGGCGGCAGGGTTTTCAGCAAGGTTGGATCGACGTCGTCTTCAGGTCAGCGGGACGATCATCGACAGCAAGAGCCAAAACGTGACCGACCCATGAAGTAGCTAGAACTTAGTGGCACAGAGTATATGTGTTGTGTGCCCTCCTGATATTCTATCCATGCCATCAGTTATCATATCTAGTATAACCTAAACCTATAATAGCATGCGAAACTTGGCATCCATGCGCAGTAGCCAGTCGTCCAAGACGGAGCTCTGTATGGAGGCTGCTTGCACTGCATGTAGCACCCACCATTGGCTAACTATGAGGTGTATTTTGGATCGTTACAGTAAGAATCAATGGCCTATGATTAATATGTTGTGCATGTTCCGCTTGATCCGCTTCACATGTTGACTTGAGCAATTGGAGGTATGGAATTGATAATCATTCCCCTACTTGTTGCTCACATGTGCAGCATGACCACGTGCTGCCGCGCTACCCACGCCGTGCAGCCTTGCTTTATTAGGACATGCCGTCAACGGGCGCAGTTAGGGCACCTCTTCCCTGCTTGCCTGGAATTGATCGACAGATGTTTTGGTTCACGCGTAGCAGCGCTTCTCGCCGACGAGAGCATGCGCGAGTTGTCTGGCGTAACAACCGAAGACGCGTGCGTTTAGGAGTGAACAGTTGGGACTGGAATCGGTGCTATTTTGTGGATTACGCGAAGCCTTTTTCTTGTCGGCGTCGACGGTCGACCGCGAATGCCCCCGGGGGGTGGTGGGCTGGTGGCTTTAGGCCTTGGGCTTCGGAGGGCTAGCTCATGCAGACCGGGCCAGAGGAACCAACGCTATGACTGTGAACGGCGGAACAAGCCGGGCCTCTGCACAGTCAAGCGTGGGCGCGTGGCGCTTTTCGCCTGCGAGACGCAAGCCGCCATCCCTCCCTGATTCCGGCCTCCGCGCACAAACTCGGCTGGTGCATCAGCGAGCTGAGCTCGTTTTTATTTTATTTTATTATTATGCCAAAAAATAATAAAAATTAAAAAAAAACATCCTGAGGTGCACGCAGCTCGCCGGTGGATATTTTGACGATTGACGCCCCGCCCCCGCGGAGCGAGTGATGACTTGCAGAGAAACGGCACACCGTGCGTGAGAGGTGCAGGTACGAACGAAGCCAGGCGTTTTGCACAGTTGTGCACTTGTGCTGGAAGCCTGGAACCAAAACCTCACGGTTCACGGAATCACGGTCCTGCCGTCCAAATCTCAGCTGATCTAGAGGCGCGCGTGATTTACTTGGTCTTAATTTTACACCTCCGACAGGTGGGGGGCATTTTTGAAACGGAAAGGGTAAAAACACCTAGATATAGTAGGTAAACAAAGAAGGAAACAGGCACCACCAGCAGTAGCCGTCTAGAATGACCCACTCTCTAGAAGCGAGAATACCGGTGAACTACTGGAGTCTTGCCGTATTACTCCTACATTGAGAATCATTTAGCCTGCGTGACCTTGGTGCATTGCCCGGTTGACTCTCGAGGGAGAAGAATCTGCACATGTTGTCGTGCTACTATTACTACCACCGGCGTTTCTGCTGACCTAGGCCATGAGCCCATTCCATATCAGGTCGGCCTCTAGAAGCCATGGTACGGTGTTATAGGAATGGTCTGTGGACCAAGCGAACTGAAATGGGTTCAAGTAGTCAAGTCCAAATTATATATCATGACTGTATTTTGTCTCCAACTATAGAATTTGTGTATAATAAATAATATTGTATGTTTCCAACTAGATTTACTACAAAAGGATGTTTCATAATTAGTTTAATGGTACTTATTTATATTATACATATTAGTATTTTTATAACTTTGATCAAATTTCAAATCGTTTAAGTAAGAATTATATTCTTTCATGGACATAAGGAGTACTTGTGTGCTAGAGATGGATGCAATTCATTTACGAGCACCCCAAAATCACTTTTTGCTGCGTCCAGTATTGGCGCGGCCTTCGAATCAAATGGAGATTTAACCGCTGGTCTAATTGTTTGAAGGAATGCTTTGTTTAAAAGGGCACGGACATTGAGTAGTTTTGTCCGTTGTCCATGGTGTTTTCTTCTAGTAGTTTTCATATGACAACACCTAGACAGTGTACAAGGACATGGAAGTACATTCTATCCAGTTGGTACATAAATAGTTAAATATTACCACTTTGGTCTTACCACAGGTTTCTGGTGAATGATTCAGGGCCGGTTTGGATTACATCCCGAGCAACTTGCCTTGCGCCAGAAGCTCAGACGCCTGGGGCTGTGATCGCTGTCTGGATGAGCGCATGCCTAGGAGGGTAAGAAGCAAACAGGCGTATCGCCACAGTACAATGTCTTTTCCTGCCACCAATAGTCAAAAGGGGAACAAGGTCGGTACACGTGGGATAACCCATGCATTATGTAGTACTCACTATGTTCCAAAATAAATGCACATTTTGATAGAGGCAAGATAATTTAGATTGCTTTTTTAGTGAAGTAATATCCAACCTTGATGGCAAGATGTTTTGCATTTTTTAATAGAAATTTTAAGAGTTCTTCCATTTCCTAGTGTGCCTCATGTTGAGAAAATGCTGCTAGGGAAATAATTCCTTATGTTGGCAGCGTGAAGATTCTCTTTTTCCTGGGCCAATACTAGTCCCTCATGTTTACTACTATCTTTTGTTATAAAACCTAAGACACTGTCTGGATCCATTAGCTGCTAATAGTTACTAGCTAGATAATATTAGGTAGCTAACTACTAGCTGGTTTTGACCAACTAGTAAGATAGTTTTTAGTTGGGATTCAGCTAACAACCGGCTAAACCATTAGCTGGATCCGTTTGGATCCAAAGATACTAATTATTAGAGGTTAACTATTAGCTCCATGGATCTAGATAGGCCCCAAGTCATTTACATTTGTCTTAAGTCATTTCCTAATTTTGGCCTAAATTTGTAGAAAAAACATATGCACATTCAATACAAAGTGCACTATCAAGATATATTTCATAGTGAATTTAATGACAAGTTTGATATTATAGACGTTCATGGATTTTTTTGGGGAACTTTATTAAAGTTAAAAAAGTCAACTTTAGATAAACTAAAACGGCTTACTCCATCTAGTCAAACATACTTATCATATATGATTTTCGACCATCTTCTATACATAACTTTGTCTAATATATTCTTACAATCCTCTAAATTTATGAGATTTCGCAAGTATTTTTCAATACAAATCTAGGCATATGTTTTGTATGTTTCTACACTAAATGGTTCAACAAGTTGTTGAGGCTTGTGTTTTTTATGGTATAATTAAATCTTAGGGATTTGCTGGGCCTGTTCGCTTGTCTGAATTTTGGAGGAATCTGAATGGTTTGGAGGAATGCTGGAGAAATTTGTGAGAGAAAAATATTGTTCCGGATGAAAAATATAAACGGATCATGTCGAATTTAAGGGCACGCGAACAATGCCGCTATGTGTAAATCTTATCATAAACAACTTTTTTTGACAGGGAGAGTACAATTGTGGAACGGAGACGGTAGCGCTGTAGGTATTTGAAATGCCGTGAACCGCGTCCACGCGCAGCCAGGGCAGGCGCAAAATCAAACGCTGACGCATTCCGGTCAATTCGTTGCGCCCGCCAGCCATCCACTGACTTTTCTTCTCGGCCCATGTTCAGTTCCGACCCAAAATCAAAAAAAATGCTACAGGAGCCATCACATCGAATGTTTGCGGTCCGTGTATAGAGTATTAAATATAGACGAAAAAAAACTAATTACACAGTTTGGTAGGAAATTACGAGACAAATGTTTTGAGTCTAATTAGTCTATATTTGAACACTAATTATTAAATAAAAACGAAAGTGCTGTAGTAGCCCAAAATTCCAAACTTTCTAAAACTAAACACGCGTTGGATTTCTTTTACCTTCCGCACCGCATCGCTAGGCCTGGTTTAGATTGCAAGTTTTTTCACTCTCTCTTCATTACATCAAATTTTTAGACACATGCATGGAGTATTAAATGTAGATAAAAAAATAACTAATTACACAGTTTGATTATAAATTACGAGACGAATCTTTTGAGCCTAGTTAGACCATAATTAAATAATAATTATCAAATACAAACAAAAATGCTATAGTACTAAATACTGATTCCAACACATCAATCTAAACGAGGCCCTAGTATCGCACACCTCTGCTCTGACCTCTGCCTCTGCCTCTCCCTGCACCACAACTCCACAGGACATCCACGTGCCGTGGTTCTCCACACCCCGAGCTCTCCTCTCCCGCTCCCGCAAGCAACAGCCAACAGAGCATCGCGCTAAAGCTCTTCCCCTTCGAACTCCCCGCCAATCCCCTGCAAACGACCAAGCGACCACTCCAAAAACTTGGCCACGTCTCTTGTAAACTCCAGCCAGGACAAAATCAAGTGATGATCCCTTCTTGTTCCACAACCTCGCTGATTCCAATCTTATCTGCGCGCCGCGCTGCTTAGTTGGCGGCAGCGAGTACGAAGCAAGAGCGCACCAGCATGCGACCGGAACGGCCATTGCCGCCGCTGTCCACTCCGCCGCTGCCGCCGTCACAACAGACGGAGGAAGCGGCGGGAGCACCAGGAATGGACGTGCCCACCAGGCTGCCAGACCCGGTGCCGTCGCCGATACTGAGGCACTCGTCCGCCAACTCGGTGAGGCGGTCGCGGTCGCTGCGTTCCCTCATGGCCGACTCGCCGTCCGTCACCTTCGCAACCAATAACCTCAGGTCGGGCTCCAAGGCCGAGTCCACCGCTTCGTCGCTCGAGAGCTTCCGGTTCCACCGCGACGAGTCCGCGTCGGGGACCCCCGCCGGGCTCGGGCGGGTGTCCACCAGGCGGTCCGCGTCCGAGCGCGCCGGCTCCCAGCGCGACCTCCGCGACGAGGACGCGCGGTTCGTGTACATCAACGACGCGGAGCGCACGAACGCGCCGCCGGCCGGACTCCCCGACAACTCGATCCACACCACCAAGTACACCATTCTGACCTTCCTCCCGCGGAACCTCTACGAGCAGTTCCACCGCGTGGCCTACCTCTACTTCCTCGTCCTGGTGGCGCTGAACATGGTGCCGCAGCTCGGCGTGCTCACGCCGGCCGCGTCCGTGCTCCCGCTGGCGTTCGTGCTCGGCGTGACGGCGGTGAAGGACGCGTACGAGGACTGGAGGCGGCACCGGTCCGACAAGAACGAGAACAACCGCACCGCGTCGGTGCTGGTGGGCGGCGTGTTCGTGCCCAAGCGCTGGAAGGAGGTGCAGGTGGGGGAGGTGCTGCGCGTGGTGGCCAACGAGACGCTGCCGTGCGACATGGTGCTGCTGTCGACGAGCGACCCCACCGGCGTCGCCTACGTACAGACCATCAACCTGGACGGCGAGTCCAACCTCAAGACGCGGTACGCCAAGCAGGAGACGATGCCCACGCCGGCCGAGGCGCTCGCGGGGGTCATCAAGTGCGAGAGGCCCAACCGCAACATCTACGGCTTCCTCGCCACGGTCGACCTCGACGGCCGCCGCGCCGTCTCGCTTGGCCCCTCCAACATCGTGCTCCGCGGGTGCGAGCTCAAGAACACGGCCTGGGCCATCGGCGTGGCCGTCTACACCGGCCGGGACACCAAGGTGATGCTCAACAGCTCCGGGGCGCCGTCCAAGCGCAGCCGCCTGGAGACGCACATGAACCGCGAGACCATCATGCTCGCCGTCGTCCTGTTCCTCCTTTGCGCCATCGTGTCGCTCCTCGCTGGCATCTGGCTCGGCGACCACGGTGACGAGCTCGGGGTGATCCCCTTCTTCCGCAAGAGGGACTTCTCCGTCAAGGACGACCCGGACGCCACGTACAAGTGGTACGGGATGGGCGCCGAGGTGGCCTTCACCTTCATGAAGTCGGTGATCACCTTCCAGGTGATGATACCCATAGCGCTGTACATCTCCATGGAGATCGTCAGGGTCGGGCAGGCTTTCTTCATGGTGCAGGACAAGAACATGTTCGACGACAAGCGGCAGGCCAAGTTCCAGTGCCGCGCGCTCAACATCAACGAGGACCTGGGGCAGATCAAGTACGTGTTCTCCGACAAGACCGGCACGCTCACAGAGAACCGGATGGAGTTCCGGTGCGCCAGCGTGCACGGCGCCGACTTCAGCGACACTGCCGGCGGCGGCGACGCCGATGACGGGCATTCTGTGACCGGTAAGCAGCATTCAGTTATTTGGTTCAGTTGAACAAATATTCTCATTCATTCAATCTGGTTGACTAGTCACCGAGGTCGGCGGTTTTAGCATTGTCAAACAGAATTTTATTTTTTTTATAAAAAAAACACTCTGTTTCGCTGACACTTGTATGTTGCAATGCTAAAATTGTCACCATGCTCCATTCCCAGCGCACGGACTTGGAAATCCGATAGAATGAGGGTTCTGATAATGCTGACCAACAAGTTGTCTTTTATAACTACCGGCGGCATTTGGACCAACTAGAGATTGTGAAATGCGGCTTCTAGCTTATTCAAATTCAAACAGGTCGATAGCTTTTAATAATCTCTATCCAGTCCAGGTTGTGACAATTTCACAAGTCATCTCCCTCTAGCTTTCGTCAGCTTTTTACGATCCACAATCTTGAACCAGTTTTTCGCAATCTGTAACCTATATATACGCAGCTTTAATCATGATACACTGTTCACCGTAATCGATACTGTCGCTGTTTGAATAAGCCTTCGATTGCACTTTTCGACCCACACGGGCAAAAGCCTCTCCCTGGCCCCTGCAGTGACAAAGGCAAATGCATACGAAGCTGAGATTTCTGAAGCTTTTGGCACTTCTTTTAATCACAGGGAGTGGATTGAAAAGGCCATGCGGTTGCTGCAGCTTTTGTTGTCATGCATTTGACCGTCCGTCCTTGATCAATGATCATCCCTTCCCTTGCAACGCCAATGATCACACGGTCCAACCACGCGAACGACATTATTGTAGGATCGCTAATTGCCCTAGCTGACATCCCTATCTGATAGGAATTACCAAACCTTCCCAACTAATCCAACACATATCTATCTAATCTATCATACTCCGATGTCTCGATAAGTCGATAGTGATGAATCGTCATCTTTCGATTAGTTTGCTGGACTTAGAGCCTGACACGGTCGACAGAGCAATTACCCGGCCAAATGAGTGCGTCAGGCTGCTTAAGCAGTACTCTTTGCTGTCGCCTGTCAACCATGTCATGATTCATGAGATTCATTTTTAAAAAATCATGTTTCGACAGAAACAACAGCAATGCAAACATTTCTCAGTTTCAGCAAATGTGCAGTGCCAAAATTTCTGAACCTGAGATTTTTTCCGTGTTGCGCTTGCGCCTTGATCAGGGGAGGACGGCGTTGTGCTGCGGCCGAAGACGGCCGTGAAGACGGACCCCAAGCTGGTGGCGCTGCTCAAGGACGGGGCCGGCGCGAACGCCGACCGCGCCCGCGACTTCTTCCTGACGCTGGCGACGTGCAACACCATCGTGCCGATCGCGGTCGACGCCGCCGCGGCGGGTGCGAGGCTGCTGGAGTACCAGGGCGAGTCCCCCGACGAGCAGGCGCTGGTGTACGCCGCCGCGGCGTACGGGTACACGCTCGTGGAGCGCACCTCCGGGCACATCATCGTCGACGTCTTCGGCTCCAGGCAAAGGTACGTGCCGTTCTTTCTTCAGTTGGCTGCTATTACATTGCTGTTCTGTTTTGGTGAATTGTTTGTTTGCTTGTTGCTTGCTTTCGAGTTGATCGCGTTGCCGTTCTGCTGGTGATTGCACTTTTAGTTTCTCTTTGTCCAGTTTTATGTTGTTCTGGATAACAAGGCTAAGACTCGTCGTAGTGCATAATAGGGCGGCGCGATGGGGTTGATCATTGGTAGCAACACGTAGGCAGGTGTCGGGATTGATGGCGTCGCATAAGACAAGGGGGAAACAAAAATACGAGGAATATGTTTTTTCCCCCAATGGTGTCACCAAATCTCGTGCCCGTCCGGCCTGATACGTAGTACGTTTCTACCTGCATTTGTGATGATCAGCGATAGGAGACTGCACATCAACTGCTCCACTTCAGCGATAGGAGACCTATCCATGCGCATGGATTCTACGCTGATTAGCCTCGTCAGGGTTTTGCACACCGGCAGATCGAGAGTGACTGACCAATGAAAATCGTCGCCCCAGTTCGCTGGTCTGCCGTGCACAGACCACCGGCCACCACGTTTTTCGGGCCAGGGGCACTGTACTTTGACGCTGAACATCTTTTTAGCATGGCGACACGCAAAATCAGTGTTATTATTCTGTCTGTGGAGCAGTTGCTGGTTGGTACTTGGTAGTAGCAAATTGGCTTTGCGGTGGCTCAAAGCCGCCAGCCATCGGAACGAGAATTTGGTTGGCCCCTCGAAGGGCCTGTTTAGATGGTGAATTTTTTTGCAAAATGCACTGTAACACTTTTCGTTGTTATTTGACAATTAGTGTCCAATCATAGTTTAATTAGGTTTAAAAGATTCGTCTTGTGAATTTCGTCTAAACTGTGTAATTAGTTTTATTTTTTATTTATATTTAATGCTTCATACATGCGTCAAAGATTCGATGTGACGGAAAAATCTGAAAAATTTGGCAAAATTTTCTGGAACTAAAGTGGACCTGGGGAACGACCAGGCGGCTTAGTTAGTTATACGAGTACTACAGCCAAAACCGTTGGCTTCCATCAGGCATGAGGCATCACATCGGCGGAGAGAATAGAAGATTCAGACCAGCGACCTTTAGCTTTATTTTAGCCTCTAACGCCAGCCAAGTCTGAAAGTGACGAGGATTATATATTTATTCTTCAGTATCCGGGCCCAGCTGTTACTTGCTCCTACGGAGTACAATTCAATTCAGAAATCAGCAGCCTGGAGCTAGTAGCCTATTGACGTTGCGGGCATGCATAGTTTTGGTTTGCATATACCACACGTAGTTGCAATTCCAGGTATCAGATCAGCGCCTCGGCACGTTTAGGTGAGCGAGAACGGTGCGCTGGATTTGACAGGTTGACGACCCCTTAGCTAGCACGCACGCAGGCCACGCCTTCAGCAATCAATTCCGATCGAAAAAACTAAACGATGGAATGATCACCGAAATCTTTCGACCCCATCTAGAAGCGCATTTCCGATAGAGAAAACTAGACGATGAAATGATCATGAAATCTTTCAAGTTTCAACCCCATCTACAAGTGCGTCATCATCCTCTCAATTAATGGACATGTGCGAGGAGCGAAGACTAAAAAGAGTGGAGGCCATCAACGTGTCCAGTCCCAGATTGGCTCGCGAAGCTTCTACTGGCTTACATGCGGGGCCCAGGTGCGCCAAAGCACACGGGATGCGAGTGCCATTCACATGTCCGCCGTGCGGGCTTAGACCCTTCGCCGGTTGCTTCCACGATTATCATATCACGGCCGCGCGCAGCCCGTCATCATCGGCTGATGGCGCCCTATTGGATGATACTACAGTACATCACGTAACAAATCTGAAAATATAGGAGCTTCCAAGTTCTGAACAAGTCAAATCCGGCCCGGCGACGGGCCCACGGGCCATGGCAACAACGCCACCAACACGGCCTTTTCGGGTGGCGTGGCCAGGATTTGACCGTTCGGTGCGGGTGCGGGCGGCCGATGGGAACCAGACGGCCGGGATGCTCCCGTGCTCCACAAGCCATATCCGCGCCCCGCGCCCCGCACCCCGAACACGAACAGGCCCCAGACCGGACGGACGGCGCCCACGAGGTTTCCAAAAATTCCCCGTCCTGGCCAGATGTCCGGACGGACGGCGCACAGTTTAGTTGAAAATCACGAGATGAATCTTTTGAACTTAGTTGGCCCACGACGAAAATATTTACCCGTCCTGGCCAGATGTTTTTCTGGGGACCTGTAACCTGTTGCCAACCAAGCTGTGGCCTGGACGCTGGCTGCCCCGCGCGCGACACGGACACGGACACTGACGCGCACGGCCGCGGCCGGCGGCCCCTCTCTGCCTGCGTCCCGCCGGGCGCCAGATGTCGCGCGGGCTCCACCACTCACCGCGCGCGAACGGCCGTACGGGACCCTCCTGCTGCCGTGCTGCGTGCGTGGCCGGCGGGCCGGCCGCCGGCGTGATGGACCAAGACTTTTGGTAGCATCGTGCGCTAACTGTGCCGTCCGCTCGGTCGATCGGTGTTGGCGTGCCGTGTAGGACGGAGCGAGGCTCCGGCGAGACTAGGCAAGTTTACCGTGCTTGCCATGCATGATTCACCCGACGTTGATTAGTCTTCACTTCCACCGGTGGCGTGTCAACTGCAGTGGATTCACAGGAGAGAATTTACAAGGTCAAGCTATTGACCGCGTTGCGAGGCCATGGCCGCAGCCAGGGGCGAATCTATGTGTATGCAGACACCGGTAACTTGCTAGAAACTCACTTAAGTTCCACCTGCAAATTACTCTTTTAAATAGAGAATCAACATGTGTTTGACCCGTTGCTTAGGCCATGTTCACTTCTCTTATAATTCGTCTTTTTCGGCTTGTTTTTTCAGTCGAAATAGTATTTTTCTCTTACAATAAATCAGCCGGAACAGTGTTTCAGCTTGTTCTTTTCAGCGAAGCGAACAGGGCCTGCAGCTTAACCCTGCAACAACCTACTAGTGGTGCACTACTCCTACAAGTCTGTCTTCTGAGTTCTGATAGCACGTGGACGCCTAACTTTGTTCCAGCGCCCTGGTTCGTTAAGTAGTCCAGGCTTCCAGTTTTCCTTTTAGCAGCAGGTTTGACTTGGTTTAGATTAATTAGTGTTACAGCCACCACCGCACGATTCCAAGAGATCCTTTCCTTGATCACATCTTCATCATAGGGTTGTCTTTTCCACTCTACTATTGTTTTTAGCTGGTCAATTCTGGACAACTCACCACGCGGATCGGAGAGATACTCCGCAGATGGACTTTCCTCTCGTCAAACATGCATGAACTTCATTCACAAGAAACCCGAAGACGCACTTAATAACGAAAAGAAAAACACCCAACAAACAAACAAACTGGGAGTATTCTCCAATGCAACGATCAGGACGAGAGGATATATACTCCGTCCGTCCCAAAATTAACGTCGTTCTAGCAATGGGCACGAATACCAATGAGTAAGAGAAAAGACCAGAATACCCCTACTCTATCCTGCTCTTCTCCCCGTTCCCATCTCGATCCAGGTCGCCGGCGCGCCTGTCATGCCCAGAGCCCGAGCCCTGCGCCTCCCGCCGGTGGAGGAGAAGAGGAGGGGGCGCCGCCCTGGCCCGTCTTGCCGTTCGCCTCAACGCCGGCTACCGCCTCCTTGACGATGGTCATCCCCACGCTGGCAGATCCGCTTCCGCCTTGACGCCGACAGCCGTTCCGCCTCAGCGCGCCTCCGCCTCACCTCAATGACGACGGCCCAGCAGCACGCGACCCGCTGGGGATGGATCTCGGCGACGGCTGGGCGTGGATCTCAGCCATGGCCACGACTGGATCTCAGTAGGGCGGTGGATGAGGAAGAAGGAAGGGAGTAGGGCCCGCTCAGGATGCGCCTCAACGCTGGCCTGCTCGGGAGGCGCCGCCGGATTCGCCTTGGCTTCGGGCCGCTCCACCTCCACATCGGTCGATCCGCTTGGGGAACCGCCGCTGCACCTCCGCGTCGGTATGCTCCGTGTGGATGCGAACGAAGGTGAGAAACAAAAGCAGTAGGCCTGCAGCCTTGTCCATGTGGGACCAGGGTCTAAAACGACAGTTTGTGGGACAATGGATGGGAGCTAGAACGACAATTTTTCTAGGACAGAGGAAGTATATTTTAACAAACATGGAAATTTCCTCACGCCAAACCTGTCTGCCGTTTTCCTGGAAATCTTCAGAGGAAGAAAGGAAAGAAATGGCACATTATTTTGTCCTCTCCTGCTAGCTCAATCAATCGTCGTACAAGCAAGCTCTGATTCATCGTCCTATATGCATGCATAATAAATCCACGGATAGTATAGGGCCTTATTTAGATTGGGATTAGGAATTAGTATTTGGTACTGTAGTATTTTCGTTTGTATTTGACAATTATTGTCCAATCATAGTCTAACTAGGCTCAAAAAATTCGTCTCGTAATTTACAATCAAACTATGTAATTAGTTATTTTTTTATCTATATTTAATACTTTATACATGTGTTCAAAAATTTGATGTGATAGAGAGAGAAAAAAAACTTGCAATCTAAACAAGGCCTATATAAAAAAATCCAATCATAAAGCTCTCGTTGCAGAGCAGAGATGCAAAAAAAATTTATATCAAATCTATACTACTGTAGGATATGGCGTGGTCAGTTCGTAGTGGGGTTCGGTCGGTCGTCCACCCAGCCGTCCAAAACTCTGAAGTTGAGGACGATGCCTACAGTGCCACATCTCTTCACGAATTCAAGTCCGCACAGTGCACGTTCATTTTATGGCAAGTACGTACACCTACTGTGCCTAATTGATATGTATACTGTGCTCCGTATCTATCAGTTGCCGACCCATTCCTTCATCCTGACCCAACACACCAGTATCCTCCAATCCAAGTTTCACGAAATCTGCATCGATCGATCGCGATGGCTCGAAAAAAGATATAGGTATTTCTCTGCCACACACACCAGTAGTCATCAGTCATCACCGGACCACTCAAAGCACAAGTTTCCTTTTTATCAAAGGCGCCAAGAAAACGTCAGGCACTGCTGCCAGCCAGCCTGCCACGCTCTGATCCGGTCATGGTTAGTACGTATTCCCTCCGTTACAAATTATTGACTATTTTTTTGGTTCATTATGTATCTAGATATATTATATATTTATATGCATAACAAAATGGATATACCAAAATAGTCAAAGTGATTTATAATTTGAAACGGATGAAGTAGTACAGTACTTCAGAAAGTCAAAACATTTCACCGATACCACACTGTCATCTCAGTCATCCATCAGCTGGAATTGTTTTTTCATAAACCAATAGAACCATGCAGGCTCTGCCAAGAGCTTGCACGTTTTCTATATCATGCATGGCCCCTGGCATCGGTCATGGGACTTGGACAGGGCGTCGGAGGTCCAGTCCAGTGGCGCAAGCACGGTCGTCATGCATGCATGATCCGGCCGGTTCTAGAAGCGGACGAGGGATGGGGATGACCGGATGACCCGCCACGAAGTTTACAGTGCGCTAATGGACGTAGTTTATGCGCGGAAAAAGTCCCTTTCAGTCAAGCCTTACTAGTAGTTAGAGGGAAGGCGGCTTGATGTCAACTGCTCCCTGCCCGAACCGCTTGTCCGCAAGTTGACCCCGACCCGGCGGCTTAATGGAAGATTTGTGCGTGGCTTATCGTGTGGATTAGGAGCAGCTCCCTGACAAGATTCTCTACTGATAGAATAATGGGGCCCGGATATTATACACGTCAGCTTGTTTTAGCGTGATCGCAAGCCTAGCTGGCCGTGATTTCGAATCGAATTCAAAATGGTGGAAAAAAGAAGTACCTACGTGCGTGCGGGCACGGCAAAAGTCAGCAAGTCAGAGATCCTATTCTCGTAGTACAAGTACAATACAACCTTGTGTGATTGCCGTGCAAGTAATGCAAATCTGTCATTCTTTTCTTTTTCCTTAGAACGGTTTATGATTAAGACGTGGAGCTGTTTAAAGCATGATGACAGATGACCCCACCTAATATCACATGGCAGGGTAATTCATTCATAGTGAATGATAGTATAATGCGTGACAAAGTGAGTAATTTTTGTACTCCCTCTGTTCCAAATTATAAGTTGCTTTGACTTTTTTGGTTCATCTATTTTGCTATGTGTCTAGACATATTATTATATCTAGATGCATAGCAAAATAGATGTATCAAAAAAGTCAAAGCATCTTATAATTTAAAACAAGGGGAGTATATAAGAACATCCGATGAAAAAAGAAAAACATTGGCTAACACTTTGCTCCACTGATTAAGATGTTTATATCTAAAAGCATATATCCTATTTGCCGCGCACTATATAATATCAATTCATCATATGGCCTATAATAAATTTAATAAAAGTCTCTGCAATAGCGGCTATAGATGGTGTGCCTTGGGACAGGAAGCTTAAGCACGAAGGGAAGCTTTCTTGGCTCTGTTCGGCTGGTGTATAAGCCGCTTGTGCTGATTTGTACGACTGATTTGTTAGAAGAGAAAAATATTATACCATAACTAATAAACCGACTTTTATAATGGCAGCCGAACATACGAACATAGCCCTTAGATTTCAGAATAGGATGTGAAGCCTTTTCTCAGCCAGGAAAAGATCTAAAGAGCAGCGCAATACTCCTTGATTGCATCAACAACACCATGCAGATAGACCTCAGGTTTAACAGACCAGGACCCACTCACGCGAAAAAGGAAGCATCAGTCACACATCCGATCTGCCTTTCGGATCGGAAGGTTCAAGATCTCCTCCGCCCACGACACGAAGCAGAGCCGGCCGGGGCCGGACCGGCACCGGCGCCCCAGGTACCAAACTGCCGGAAACAAAGGCTTGTTTAGTGGCCGCGAAAGCGAAACCCCTCGCCGTCCGCCCCCCACGGCACGCGCACGGATGCCGCGCGGCCGCCCCGCTCCCGTCCATCCTTGACTCCGCTGTGCTCCTCTCCTCATCCGCATGTGTGTGTGACAGCCTGATTTCTCCGCGATTTGCTGGGATGATTAGCAAGGAAAATGGGGTCAAAGAAATCAAAACAAGTCCGGCACGCGTTAGAGCATCTCCAAGAGTACTCCAAATTTTATTTTCAAAACATGATGTTTTGCCTACTCCCAAAGAAATATGGGAAGAAAAAAAAACCATCTCCAAGAGTACCCACATTTAACTTTTAAAATATCAAAATTGTGGTTCCACGCACTTTTTTCTCCCCTTTTTTTTTTCCAGCGCCACGTCACGATCCCCCGACACAATTAGGCCGCCGCCGCCTCCATTGACCGTCCTGCCGACCTCTAGCTTGCAGGAACCGGCGGCAGCCAACCACGGCCGGCTACCTGGTGCCTCCAGTTGGCCGTTGGGACCTCTTAGCCGGTAGGCAGGCACAGCAGGCCGCCCATCCTTGCTCACCCACGTACGGTGCCGGCTTATTCCTCGATGAACTCTGGTGTCTATAGAGATTTCCAACTCGTCCAACTCCGGGCTCCATCTCACTCACCTCATCAATAGAGGAATCGGTACGTGCCAGAGTCCGAGGCCTTCCAGAATCAACATAATGAGCAATCCTTGCCATGCAGCGCCGGCGGCCGGTTCATCACCGCCGCGACATCTGCCTGCCATCGACCTTGATAGAGCGCGCCGTGCCTCGATGATGCTCCTGTCTGGGTCTTCTTCATCGTCGTTATCCTCCATGGGAGCAGTGACAGAGAGCCGTTGTTTGCCGACGCGATCATCACAGGCCGGCAAGGAGCCAAGCTATTGCGAACATTGGACGCCGCCTCTGCTGCTTTACCTCCGCATACGGTGCGGGGGAAACGGCGCGGGGAAGAGCGATGCGCGCGAGAAAGGCCGCGCGCATTTTTATGCACGATGCCGGCCTATTTGTCAATTACAAAAAGACGAGGAAGGGATATCAAGTACTTTTAGAGATGTGTTTTTTTTTCTTCAAAAAATATAGATGAGGAAAAGATGAGGTATTATTGGAGATGCTCTATGCCCCCCATCCGCTTGTCGATTTACTCTGTCCTGCCATCCCAAGTGGAGCGGAGTAGAGAGATCCACAGAAGCTTCCACGGGGACGGACAGTCAGAGGGGGGAGCGTTACCAAATCTTCTTCCTCCACTAAGCGAGGGTTCGCGTTTTACCAAAATTTCGTTTTTATTTGGTCTTCTTCCTCCACTTAATCTTCCATTCGTCTGCATTCGATGCGATTATTCTCGACTTTTTGGGAAAACTTTTTGCAAACTAAACAAGGGCTAATTCATATTATTCTCGTCAGGCTCTGCTTAATTAGTACTTCTGCGGCAGATTCCTCCTTGCCAGGCTTCATCATTCAAAGAACGCAAACCCAATGCTGGCTGGCAGGCAAGCGAGCGGAGCACGCACGAAAGTCTTCGAGCTCTCCCTCTCCCTTGTCTGTCTCTCATACAAACGGTGCCGTCGCTCCGTCGTCCTCACCAACTCCGCCTGCCAGATTTTAAACGCCATGGCCAAAACCATTTCCAACGATCCACTTCTCCCTTTCTTTCCGTCTGCGCTTCGCTTCCTCCTCCCCGGCCTGCGGAAGCCGGAGTAACGGCGCCCTGGTGAAAATCCAATCTTTATTGCGGCAGTCACCCTAGTTACTACCAGGCGTCCGCCTCGGCCAACCACCGGCGCCTCCTCCTCCTCCACGCTTGCTTTTACCTGCCAATACCCAACTCGTCTTCCGCCAGACTCTGCTCGTTGCCCGTTTCCCTCCCTCCCCTGTTCCGCTCCCCTGCTCGCTCAGGCCCGAACAAGGCGACCGCCGCCCGACCCCGACCCGCCGCTCCAAAACCCGACCTTCACGCGCGCGCCGGGAGCGGCATGCCCGGGAACGCGGGAGCTGGGACTCCGCGGCGGCTCCCGCTCGTCTGACGCCGCGCCCGGTCAGCAGCGCCCACGCCTCGCCTCGCGCTCGCCCGCCATGGCCGAGGACCACGGGTCGTCGCGGCACATGTCGGCGTCGCAGAAGGAGCTGGGCGACGAGGACGCCCGCGTGGTGCGCGTGGGCGACGCCGCGCGCACCAACGAGCGCCTCGACCTCGCGGGCAACGCCGTGCGCACCGCCAAGTACTCGCCGCTCACCTTCCTGCCGCGGAACCTCTTCGAGCAGTTCCACCGCCTCGCCTACGTCTACTTCCTCGCCATCGCCGTGCTCAACCAGCTGCCCCAGCTCGCCGTATTCGGCCGGGGCGCCTCCGTCATGCCGCTCGCCTTCGTCCTCCTCGTCACCGCCGTCAAGGACGCGTACGAGGACTGGCGACGCCACCGCTCCGACCGCGCCGAGAACGGACGCCTCGCCGCGGTCCTCTCCCCCGGGGGCGGTGGCGCCCAGTTCGTCCCGACCGAGTGGAAGCACGTCCGAGTCGGCGACGTCGTGCGCGTCGTGTCCGACGAGTCGCTCCCGGCGGACATGGTCCTCCTCGCCACCAGCGAACCCACCGGCGTCGCCTACGTGCAGACGCTAAACCTTGACGGTGAGTCCAACCTCAAGACGCGCTACGCCAAGCAAGAGACGCTGTCCACGCCGCCCGAGCGCCTCGCCGGGGCCGTCATCCGCAGCGAGCGCCCCAACCGCAACATCTACGGCTTCCAGGCCAACCTCGATCTCGAAGGGGAGACCCGCCGGATACCGCTCGGCCCGTCCAACATCGTGCTGCGCGGCTGCGAGCTCAAGAACACGGCCTGGGCAGTCGGCGTGGTGGTGTACGCGGGGCGGGAGACCAAGGCCATGCTCAACAACGCCGGCGCGCCCAAGAAGCGCAGCCGCCTGGAGACGCACATGAACCGCGAGACGCTTTTCCTCTCTGCCATCCTCGTCGTGCTCTGCTCCATCGTCGCCGCGCTCTCTGGCGTCTGGCTGCACACCCACGAGGAGGGGCTCGAGCTCGCGCAGTTCTTTCACAAGAAGGACTACCTGCGCCGCGACAAGGACAATGACTACCGGAACTACAATTACTACGGCATCGCGGCCCAAATCGTGTTCATCTACCTCATGGCGGTCATCGTGTTCCAGATCATGATACCCATCTCGCTCTACATCTCCATGGAGCTCGTCAGGCTGGGGCAGGCCTACTTCATGATCCGGGACACGAGGCTGTACGACGAGTCCTCCAATTCGAGGTTCCAGTGCCGGGCTCTCAACATCAACGAGGACCTAGGCCAGATTAAGTGCATATTCTCCGATAAGACCGGCACGCTCACGCAGAATAAGATGGAGTTCCGGTGCGCGAGCGTTGACGGTATCGATTACAGTGACATCGCACGGCAGCGGCCTCCTGGTAGTATGGCATCTCCCTTATCCCATCAATTCTTTTGATTAGGAGAGCCATCGTTGGCAATTGATTACTTTTGATTCATAGCAGAGGGTGATCGGATTTGGGTGCCAAAAATATCGGTGAACACCGATCCGGAGCTGGTGAAGTTGATCAGGGATGGGGCTGATACCGAGCAAGGGACGCAGACTCGAGAGTTCTTTGTCGCCCTGGCAACGTGCAACACCATTGTTCCCATGATCGCTGATGGTCCGGACCCTAAGAAGAAGGTGATTGATTACCAAGGCGAGTCACCAGATGAGCAGGCATTGGTCTCTGCCGCCGCGGCATATGGCTTTGTGCTAGTCGAACGAACATCGGGCCACATTGTTATCGACGTCCTTGGTGAGAAGCTGAGGTATTATTGACTGAAACATTCTTCTTGCGATAGATAATGTAGGCACTGATTGACACTTTCTGTGGGGTGCGATTCACAGATTAACAGCATTAGAAATAGGGACACCGGGAAGTGGAGATTTGTTCGCTGGTTGTTTCTGGGTTGGTTTGGGCTGGTTGGTGCTGGTTTATTGTGAGAGGAAAATACTGTTGGCTGACTGGTTTGGGCTGGCTGAAACCTGTTTGTGGCCGTTGCTTGCATCTTGTTTTGGGGGCCTGTAGTGCAGACTGCAGACAATTGGTGGTGTCTTTGGTTCTGGAACAGACGGAAAACTGTTTCAACTACTACTTGAATTAGCATTGTACCCTGAATGACTCCTGTTTGTTTTGCAATGCATGGATGATGGATTTGCCTACTGCCTTTGTACATGTATAAGACTAGTCCTTGTTACCATTTTTTTTCAATTTCACCTTAGCATTTTTTTGTGTCTCTGGCCTTTCGTATTTCCTACAATATTTGCTTAATTAATTACCTTTTTACTGGACTTGATTTGCAGATATGATGTCCTTGGTCTTCACGAGTTTGACAGTGATCGCAAGAGGATGTCTGTTATAATTGGCTGCCCTGATAAGTCTGTCAAGCTGTTTGTTAAAGGCGCAGATAGTTTGATGTTTGGAGTCATTGACAAAACTGTGAATTCAGATGTTGTCCAATCAACAGAGAAGCATCTCCATTCATATTCGTCATTAGGTCTGCGAACACTTGTCATTGGTATGCGGGAACTTAGCCAAGAAGAGTTTCAGGAGTGGCAAATGGCTTATGAAAAGGCTAGCACCGCACTGCTAGGAAGAGGAAACCAACTCCGCAATGTGGCTGCCAGCATCGAGACGAACTTGCGTCTATTAGGTGCCACTGGAATTGATGACAAGCTGCAGGATGGAGTACCTGAAGCAATTGAGAAACTAAGGGAAGCAGGGATTAAGGTTTGGGTGTTAACAGGTGACAAGCAAGAAACTGCCATTTCCATCGGCTATTCCTGCAAGCTTTTGACAAGGGACATGACACAGATTGTAATTAACAGTCGCTCAAGAGACTCATGCAGGAAGAGTCTAGAAGATGCAATCGCCATGGTTAACAAATACCAATCATTCTCGACAGACCCCCAACTTAGGGTGCCCCTTGCTTTGATTATTGATGGTAATAGCCTTGTCTACATTTTCGATACGGATTGGGAAGAGAAGGTATACTATCATACTAAAATCTTACCAACTGAGTAAATTCTATTGTCAGCAACTCATGAATTTTCAACTTTTCAGCTTTTTGAAATCGCTATAGCTTGCGACGTCGTCCTATGCTGTCGTGTAGCTCCACTTCAGAAGGCTGGTATTGTTGATCTCATAAAGAAGCGAACAAGTGACATGACTCTAGCTATTGGAGATGGTACGCCTTCTTTAGTTATATTCTAGTTCAGAACTTCATCTATGTTTTTTTTTTCGCGAGTCAAAAATCTGAAAAGATGCACATTTTCAGGTGCAAATGATGTATCCATGATTCAAATGGCTGACGTTGGCATTGGCATCAGTGGGCAAGAGGGAAGGCAAGCTGTAATGGCCTCAGATTTTGCCATGGGGCAATTCAGATTTTTGGTTCCTCTATTGTTGGTTCATGGCCATTGGAACTACCAGAGGATGGCCTACATGATCCTATATAACTTCTACAGAAATGCTACTTTTGTCTTTGTGCTATTCTGGTAAGCACGTTACCATACTTACTACTACTTGGTTCAGTCTGCATAAGGAACACATATTAATTCCTTAACCATTTCAGGTATGTACTTTACACTGGTTTCACCCTGACAACAGCAATAACTGAGTGGAGCAGCGTGCTATACTCCGTGATATATACTGCTGTCCCTACTATTGTTGTTGCCATTCTCGATAAGGATCTCAGCCGCCGGACATTGCTGAAGTATCCCCAACTCTATGGCCCAGGGCAGCGTGAGGAGAATTACAACCTGAGGCTATTCATATTCATCATGATAGACTCCGTCTGGCAGAGCCTTGCATGTTTCTTCATCCCTTACCTTGCATACAGGAAGAGTGTCATTGACGGTTCCAGCCTCGGAGACCTATGGACACTATCTGTGGTTATTCTTGTTAACATTCACCTGGCAATGGATGTCATCAGATGGAACTGGATTACACATGTGGCAATATGGGGTAGCATTGCTGCGACATGGATTTGCGTCATGATCATAGATTCCATACCAATCATGCCTGGTTTCTGGTAAGCACGCATTCTATCTGTTTTCTACACTCATATGGAAAGTATGTTCACAGTTACTGAATCGGTAATTGTATGACAGGGCAATCTATAAGGTGATGGGAACTGGGTTGTTCTGGGCACTTCTGCTTGCGGTAACCGTTGTTGGGATGATTCCTCATTTTGCCGCAAAGGCCTTCAGTGAGTATTTCATCCCCAGTGACATTCAGATTGCAAGAGAAATGGAGAAGTCGCAAGATTTCCAAGATGTAACTCATCCAGAAGTTCAAATGAGTACAGTGAGTAGAGCTTAGTGTAGGGGGTTACACAGTGATCTTTTGTTCATTCGAGTAGGTTAGCTCTACACCTTTCTTTGGTTCCTTTTGTTGTGTGTGTAGGCAATTCTTTCAGCAGTGGGCAAGCTTTCTTGATGCTTGCTCCCTCGCCAACTATCCAAAGGATAGGTCCCTTGTACCATTCTGTGTATCCACCAGCCAAATTTTGTTGATTTACATGAAAGGAGATCGTACAGGAGTTAATTGTACGAAATAGAAACTGATCGACATGTCTTATGATGGTGTACAGTTCAGTCACTAGAGTCGATTGTACAGATTCAGAAATCGCACAAGCTATGTTGCAGCCTTATCTAGTTTCAGACTTTCAGGCAGCGTTTATTGACTCCAGTAATTTCGTGAAGAACGCTATTAATGTTGGTTCAGTTAAAGTTTTATACAAATGATAGGATAACATTACATGGACCAGGGAATTTGGGAAATTCCTTCCCCTGTCGCTGTCACAAGATGCAGCTGGTCAGCACAACATCATTTTGCATAATATCAACTGGGTGAATGTTGCCAATGCCAACCAAGGAGGCCTTAATACCAGATTCAGTAGGGCTGGCCAACAACGACCGGGTGCGGCCTCTTCTACCCCAGGCCCCTGATCCCAGATCGAACCATCCACTATTCATCCGAAACCAAAGTACTGCAGGTATGACCATACGGGGACTACTGCTAGATCAACCATCACGTCCTCCTTCCAAATCCACCGATCAAGTACTACCGATGATGCAACAGAACTACGATGACCTAGTGCCACTACTGATGATACTACTACTGCTGCCAAAGGGAAATCGTGAAAACGAGTTGCACTACGACTTCTGCTGCTGCTACAGGCTCAAGCCAGGCACCGGCGATGGTTTGCGGCCGGCCGGGGCGGCGCCGTGGATATACAAAGCGGTAAGAGAGTTCATACCTAGAAGCCCCTATTCGATCTCAATGTTTGGTATTCCTTCAGACGAACAGGCAACAAGTTGCGAGGTTGGTGTTTAGAATCCCTTCTTCCCTTAGTTTTTTTTGAGATTATCGTTTAAGTCGAGTTGTGAGCTACCTGTTCCACGCCAGATAAAGTTGACAACCTGTTTTTAGGTGAAGCTTCAAAAGGTGGTAAAGCTTCAAAAAGTGTGTTGACGCAAACATCTGTCACACACTAGTTAGGGCTAGATCGACCGGGTCGCTACGGACCGAAAGAACGCACTTGATAACTATCACACTTACGTGGTGAAGAACAGAACCAATCGCTTACGTAACAAAGAATGGCCAGTTTACGAGCAAACTAGCAAAGAAAATGGTGAAGCTCTCGCCCAGGAGGGATCCAGTCGGGGCAAGGACATCGTCGGATTGCCCTAGGTCAGCCCGCAAGCTAGGACGCCATCCTTGGTCGTCGAATCGAGGTATGAACGACAGCATGAGATTGGGAAAATGATTTTTAATATATAATAATTGTAAAATATCGATCGGATGTTGGATGTCTCAATCAGCCATGTACCGCTTATTTTATAAGGAGTAGGAGCTGTCTTATCATATTGGGAAACCGATATGGTACTATTCTTATGTCGCTCTATAGAGTTTTCCATATTTGGGCCAAACTATCATGGGTCAATTCTGAAATTGACTTGGACCCAATTTAGTCATCAACACAACCCAGATGATCTTTCAACAGCTCCTGATGTTCATCAAAATCTTATCCACTCCATACAAGAGAACAACATAGACATGGAGGGCCCTAAACTAAGCTATGGAGGTCCACGCCTCCACCTCTACCAGAGGTGCATAGCGAGACACAAGACATCAACCAATTCATCGCTCATATCATGCTCCATTGCCAAAACCTCTACCTAATGTTCAACCTCAGTCAACACTATAGCCCAACAGTGCAGAGGAAGCCACTACATCAACCCATATTGATACAAGCGATAGCCAACATAAAAGTAATAGATTGGCCAAAAAGGCTAAGAAAACCTTAGGAAAAAAATACAATTCAATTAGCACAAAAAGTGTTAGCTAAGAAGTTAGGTTAACTTTAATTCCACCATCAGCTATAGTTTCTAACGAAGATATTTTCGGCTAGCTTGTATGATATTTTGAACGACCATTGTCAAAGCACAGGTAATGGGTCTACCCCAGGGAGGCGCAAGGATTGTTTATGGACCAAGGAGGGCCGGTGCATGAGAGAAAGACAGCGAGAGAAGGTGCAAGAAAGAAGGGGGCGGCAGCCTGGAAGGAGAGGAGACACCAAAGAAAATTAATCCCTAAATATTTCTTTCCTTTACAATAAAAGGCCTATTCTATAGCGAAAACAATCAGCTATCGTACTAGACCAATGAAACACAACTTCTTGTTATCATAATAATCATTTCATCATGTGTTAATTTAAACCATGCCATTATAAATAGTTTGGAGATCTGCTATTATTATTCACATATTTTGGAATCATCTCATTATAATTCGTGCCTTACTTGAACTATGCCACTTTCGATATTTTAGACAACTTTGGACTCACGCATAGACGATTGTATTTCCGTATTCCCCCAAATGAACCTGCTATGATGTCTTTCTCTACTACTAACATACAAGACCCATGCGTACTCCCTTTCCTCCCACATCCCACCTCCATCACCTCCTCAATCCAGCCATGGCCACCCTCATCAGCCCAACCTAAGCTCATGGGCAGTTCCTTAATTCATCATATTAGAGACCAGATGGGATCTGACTTGCTTGTAGAAGCAGAAAGAGGTGACAATTGTAAGTGTGATTTTCACTGATCCTAAATTAGTTGTTTCGGATTCGTTGGCCAAATTGGCCAGTTTGAGACGGCTTGTTGATGCATGTCTCTCTTGCCCTTCATAATAGTTGAATGGCATCCCATAAAGAGGTTGACTAGCAAGTGTTGTTGATCTGCTCCTAGATTCATCTTAGGTAAAGTAGCATATTCAGATCCAACTTCCCCCCCTCAATATTATCAAATTTAGCATAAATCTCACCAAATTTATCATCTACGACCTTCATTAGAGTTTTCTTTACAATCCATGAGCATCTATGCATATTGATCCATTGTAGGAGGGGTAAGAGCACTTACATTATAAAGAGACTGTGACCCTTAAGGGAGGAGTGAATTGGGTCACTGAAAAACTAAGGCCCCAAAACCACTTGTAAAAACTTATACAAGTTTTGGGAGCATGCGGTGTACACTTGCAAGTGTCTTAGACTAGGCTCCACTAAAAATCTCTAGTGCCCTCTGAGCCTTGTTCCCTTGCGTTCATTTGTCTGGACTTCACTTGTATAATATTTTGGGCTTTTTGCTTGCCTTCTAGGTTTCCAATACTCCTATTTAATCTTCATTTGAGGTATCGATTTCTCGATCATCACCAAAGCCTAGATCAAGCCTCTTTGCATCCTATGGACTAATGCATCTTGTTTAGGGTTAAAGATGCATAAATGTAGATGTATGATTTTGAGTTGATTGAGATTCGCTCAAACGGCCGTGCCTCTATATTTATAGGGTGACATTATTCCGTTAGGAAATGTTTACAACTTCAAAATTCACAAAGATCCTAACTTCTTGGATTCTACCAAATGGCCAGAGTCGATGCAAAGTCATAGGAAAACTGCTTAGGCCTGTTTGGCTGCATTATAATCCAAACACAATCCACATGAAATTGGGGTGAGTCAAAGTGCAACCAAACCAGCCATTTGGTGGTTTCGTCAGATGTGGCTCAATTTAGCTATCAACAGGTGGTGATCAGCGAGCAGGTACAGATTACATTGAGCAAGCAGGGACTCATAAGCTATTGGGCCGTGTACTCGCCAATCGCCATACTCTGCTATCTTCAGAAGTTAGTTTTATGCAACATTTTTTGCCCACTCAAATAAACCTCTCATCATCGAAACAACACGACTACATGATCAACAGTAGTCCCAGCATCTGCTGGCTCCAATTTCTCAACACATAGCTCTAGAACAGTGATATTTAATGGTTTTAATTCAGCATCAAGGCATCTAGACAACCTCCATCCCATTAGGCAATGAAACTTACCATGCAACGATTTTATTTCAGTAATTTTTTTGTTGAAAGAAAAATCCATTTATCAACTTGACAATTACTGTCACACAGGTTTCAACATAAACTAGACTTAAACGATTGGGATACCCAACTTGTTCCCCACAGCAAGAACGCATCAGTCCGATTACGCATCGTCGCATGCCCCAAGTCATCAATAGAACGGAACCATCTTCCACTTCTGGTTGGGGCCGCCGTTCCACGGGAAGACAAGGATTGGCGTGCCGTCATGCGCGCCTCCGGCGTCAGGCACGGCGTTGGCCGCGTCGAGGACGAAACCGACGTCGCTCACGGAGCGGAGGCCGTGGAACCCCTCGCCAAGGTCCTCGCTCTGGGTCCAGAGCAGCGCCACGTCCACGGAGTCCGGTTTGTGGCCGGCGAGGCCAACCTGCGGCGAAAAGAATATGAGAAAACCCTGCGTCACGTAACACGGCAAGGTTGACGATCACCCGTCTCGCGCGATGGAACGAAAAAAACACGGACGGACGTACCAGCTGGCTGCCGCTGCCGCTGTAGCGCCTCAGCGCCAGCGCGAACGCGGGGTGTCCCTCGTCGTCCGTGACGCGGCCGGTGTTCCGAAAGCTCTGCACCCAGCGCTGCAAAGGCAAGGGAAACACCGTGACGTGTGTGTGTGAGGAACGCCGCGCTGACGACCGCTGCAGAAACCGAACAAAGCTTGAGGCACGAGCGGCGAACGACCTGTCGCTGGTCCTTGTCGTCGGCGCGGGCGAGGACGGCGGTGCCGTCACGAACAGTGAGGCTCAGGTCCTGGCCGCTCTGGCACAGGATTCGCAGTGGCCGCGCGTGCTCCATGTCCTTGTACCACAGCTGCATGACAGAATGCAAGACAACGAACGCGTTTGGAAGTGGGAACATTAGAGTAGAGCAGCGCACTGCAACATACTACTTTGTTTCTACAGTAAATGGGACGCCTGCATGGGCGCCGCCAGTTTGCAGTTGCAGGTCAGAAACAACACAAGGATCCGAGAAGCAAATGAACTCGCTGTACCTGACGTTCGTCGCGAGGCTGAGGTCGTCGCACTTGCGGCAGTGGATCTTGAACGAGGACGCCATGGCAGTGGCAGATGCGAGCCGCTAGCAATGTCAGTGGAGTATTATGATTTGTGCGTCGACGCACGATACAGTACAAGGAAACAAGGGGTTCTAAGGTGTATATATATATACACACACACACACATGGGATTCTACCGTTGTTCGCTTCGTCTTCTCGAAAATGGCTTTCGATGGTTCATGTTCCCAGGCAGCATCGGGAACGTAACGTCCCGTCGTTCTCTTCTGGGAATAAATGCTCCTACTTGGATTTTGGAAATATGGCCCGTGGCAAGTTTCATTTCTGGGCTTAAGACTGTCACGTCAGCTTTACAGAATTAAATTAAGAAATGAAACTGACTTTCTCGGTGCACAATTTCATAGATAAGCGGTATGTTCGCTTGGTCGTAAACGATCGTAAATTTTTAGCCAAAACAGCATTTTTCTCTCACATCGAACCAGCCAGCAGTAATAATCAACGATCGTATACGATCG